TACACAGTTTTGGGTTACACCCATCCAGGGATGAATTGGTCCCAGCCATTCTAACCAGGACAGATCTCTATCAGTAAATACTCTATCTCAAGTTTTAAAAATTGAAGATTTTGTCTTTAAATTTCCTCTCCCTGACATTCTGGATCCTTCTTGTTTCTCTCCAGGCCCCTAGTCCTACTTTTTGGAGTTATCCTGCCTGTGACACCAGCATTCTCAACTCATTTCGCGTGTGCTCTCTTGTCACTCAGCACTCTGCTACTCCAGACAGACATCCATTCCCACAAACCTCCAGCACTCTATGGTTCTTTGATGCTCGTGGTTTCCATTTCCTTTACATTTTTATTACAGTGCAATCTGAGCAGAGATAGCAAAGCAGACTGTGGATTTCTAACTGTTCCTGGAGGCTTAATGATTTTGTCTTAAAGAACTCTACCTAGGTTTGTCACCCAGAGGGTGCTGGAACAGGCTCCCCAGGACAGTGGTCACAGCACCAAGCCTGATGGAGTTCAAGAAGCGTTTGGACAATGCTCTCAGGCACACAATGTGATTCTTGGGGCTGTCGTGTGCAGAGCTAAGTGTTGGACTTTGATGATCCTTGTGGGTCTCTTCCAACTCAGGATGTTCTGTGATTCTATGAAGTTCTATAAAACTGGGGAGTAGAACGTGCCAACGTCATCAGTGAGTGCTGTGTGAACAACCATTTGGGGACCACTGCACTGAAATTAAAATATTTTTACAATATGTGATTCAAACATACTTTGAGTCTGCAAAACTGATTTTTTGCCATAGCTGTTTTAGTGTTGCAGGCTTTTAGTTGCAGATATGTATTGCTACCTTTTCCTTTGAAACCAACTGAAGAGGTAGTGAGATGTTGAAAACTATCTTTTGCTGAGAATTGTGACAAATGAGTAATTCTTCCTGTTGTTGGAAATCCTGTAGACTATGGATTTACAGTGAAATTGTTGACCCATCTTGAGCTTTGAAATTTCAAATGAGATTCTGAATGTCGAATCACTGAACACATTACTGAGAATAAACATTTGGTGAGCCATTAGTGGCAAGTGGCTAAAGACTGCAAAAGGGAGCAACTGAAAAGAAAATAAATGCAATGAAAGAGCATCTAAATTCATTTGGCTGGCAGCAGCACTACAATAATGTTGCCTATTCAGTTTTTGAAAATAGAAATCAGTTTGCAGTGTAGTTGGAAGTTGTAATCGTTTTAAATGGACAGAAGCTAACTATGGAACATATATGGCCAACAAGGTTTGACTGATTACACCTTTAGAAGGAACCGAAAGAGAAGGAGTCCAGTTGTAACACTGACTGAAAAAGATGTATTTTATTATCTGCTATGCTAGCAAGCCCGAGCTTACAACTGGACTCATGGAGGGAGGGATCTGGTCTCTTATACACAAAGGCAGTTCTCTTCAGTATTATGCAGTGTCACAGAATATCTGCACTCAGTCAACTGTCGGAATATATCTCTCATCAGAATTATCTCAGATATCAGATAAGACACTGACAGACAAGATTATCTTGGCTGAAGCATGCAAATAAGTTCTTTAGAAATATCCAAAGAGATATCTCAGTGTTATCTGTGCAACACTTTGTTGCTGCACTGAAGCAGTCTCAGAAGGAAGCAGGGTAGTTTACCAAAAGTTGTAATTCTAGCCAAATAGACTCTTGTTTGCCATTTGCCTGGTTGAAGTATTTGTTGGTTTCTCAGGAAGTTAATATCTTTTGGCATTGTGCTGTTCCAGATCTCAAGCAACATATATACTGTGTACCAAGTGCTTTCTTTAAAGTGTTAGGTTGTGTGCAGACATTAAAGCAAGTTCGGTATCTTAAGTGTTATCTTAGTTCTATCAACTTTTGTATTATCCACTCAATTGCTGAATTGCTTATTTATTTATTGACTTGATTTTTAACAGACAAAATGATGCTTATATAGGGATTTGTGGACAAATTTTTGTAGTGTACAGAAATTACTCACAGACAAGCACTGTTGAAAGCGTCCTTTGTATCCATCCACTGCATTTTATACACACACATGCATGCCAGCAAATAAGACTCCACATTATGCTATACCAGGCCACGTTTTCCATAAATTGTATATGAAAATTAATTTGACATCATCCAGGCATGACATCATTGTAAAAGACTCGAGGGATGAAGCAAGTGTGAAGAATATTTCTCTTTGCTTTTTCTGAATGCAATAGCAGTGAGAGTGAGCAGATTGATGTTGTATTCCCTCCAGCTGTGATGAAATTGTGATCCTTTTTCTGTCCTGACCTACACACTGGAGAAATGAGGAACTGCACATCTTTTGCAACAGTTTCCTGTGGTTTTTGGATGGATACATTACCCTATAAATGTTTTCCTTTGTCCTGATTGCTGTCAGAAGGGAGGGTGATATCTGAAATTCAGGATGATATGCGCACCAGGTATCATCCCTTACGCAGAGCAGCAATGGACTAGCATTGTGGCTGTGGAGAGCTGTGTGGTGGGGCTTTGGGGGAACAAACCCTGGAAGAGCTGCCATGGGAGCTCAGAAACACTGCAGTGTTGTTTCTGTCCCTCATCGTGCAGCCTCCTTTTTACAACAGCCCACAGTGAGCTTTGTGCCCAGCTGCTCCCAGTCTTCTGGATGGCAGCTTGCTGCTAAATGCTGTGGGGGAGAGGGAGGGTTCTAACTCCTTTGTGTGCTAGCTGAGACAGGTTCCTCACTAAGCTCCCCTCAACTTCTTAAAAAAAAAAAAAGGAAACAAAAATTAAAAGAGCAGCTTGCTAGCAATTCACCAGAGGAGCCAACTTAGCTGCAGGCAGGCAGGCAGCCAGGACTGAAGTAAAACCAGCCTGAGTATCCCTGGCAACAGCCCAGACTGCCTTCCTTAGTTTGGACTGCACTCCCCTAAAATATATGTGCATAGCTGTGGGTCTTTAAGGGCCAAAATCTGTGACTATCCAGTGAGTATGAAGTCAAGCTCAACATAACAATAGACTTCCAGCATTTTTCTACTCAGGTTTCAGCAAGAGAGCTAGGTTTTCTTTCCTTTGCAACCAAAAACTGAGGTGAGGTCTTTGCGCTCCAATATTTGAAGCCTGTGTAGACTTTAAAAGCTGTCCTTACTCCAACAACAGCTGTTTTACAATTAATCCAGAAAAGCTGTGCAATTGCTTTCTTTGGATGCTGAGGAAAATTGCAACATGACTTCAGTACAGAATTACCTATTTTTCACATTGTCTATCCTCGTAATTTTTCTATCAATATGTACTTCAGTGAGATATCCTTAGGCTCAGTAAAGCAGGTAGGTACTGAGTGCTTTTAGTTTCACTGCAAATGGAAATGGATGAAAACAAAAGCAAAGACCAATTTACAGTTGTGGCAACTGTGGCAGGCACCTCTTATCCCTCAGAAAAGGAAGGAATAATGTGAAATTGACAGAGAACTGTAGTCAAGAACTGTAATGCAATATTTCATGAGGGGGAAGGATTTTGAGAAATCTTTTTAGACCTGCCAATTCTCCATCTTCTCCGAGGCTGTGCTTAGAATTTGTGGGAAGATTGGCAATTATTTGAAGCACTTTAAAAACAACGTAACTTTAGCTGAAGTAGAACCAAAAGAGAAAAACTAAGACTATCTTGATAGACTTCCCCTTTTTCACATTCACAGTATTTAGGACAACATTCTGGATCTCACAGTGTGTGGTGGGTGGGACTTTTTTTCTTAGTACAAAAATGTTGAACAGCAGTGCAATTTGATACAGAAAGTGATTTATTCCCCTGCTGATAACTGAGATCATCTAGCATTCCAGACAGGCACAGTTAATGGATGACTTATGCCTCACCCGGCAGCTGATTACAGGACCTCAGGAGACAGCAGGCAGCTTTGAGTGAAACAACATGGCATTTTATTTTCCTTTTAGTGTTATTGCAGTTATATTCAGCCCTGGAATGCTACAGCTATATCAGTCTCGGCCCCCTGCAGAACTGGCATGCACATAGGTGGGTGGGCAGCACTGAGCCACCAACTGCTCTAATTCTTAGCACCATTATCCTCCCTTTCTGCGATCTGTGTAAACATCTGTGGGGCAGAGTAATGGGCCGACATTTCTTTGGTCCCTGTAGATAAGATTCACCAAGTCTTTTATTATGACTTTTTATTAAAATTCCTGCTAACCTGTGGGTTGGCTTTAAAATCCTCCAGCCCTGAAGGAATGCCAGTATACTGAGGAGTACACCTTAAAATGAACTGAAAGATGCTATCTCCTGGCATCTGTCAGTGGAGTTTTGCTCAGGTTGATTCCTCAAAGTATCCATTAAAATATCTGAGACGATAATTGGCCATCAGCAGAGATAAATCAGGTCTGGGCTGATTCTTTTTTCTTAGCAGATATTTCTTCCCAAAAAAGATGAAGACTCATTATCAGAGCAGCAGAAAGAAGCTTGGTTATTGCTAAGAAATCTTAAGAAGCTTTTTGCTTTTTTTTTCTTAATTTAAAAAAAGGATTTTTCCAGAAGACACCATTTCAGAAAAAGCAATTCGGTTACACATGACTAAATATCTGGCTTTGCAGAGAAGTTGTCGCATGATTCAATTTTCTCATGCAGCTTAGAGAATTAATTTCTTTTCTGAATTTGTCACACCCCTCTGCATCTTCTGAACATTGCAATGCCCAGTCCATGCTACATGTGTCCTTTCTGTGAACTTTTAAGTAAGACTCATATGTGTTGGTGAAGTATTGGGAGAGTGTTTGATGTAAAAATTGAGATTTTGTTCCAAATGTTGTTTTTTCTAATACCATTCTTTCTCTTTCCAGTACCACCAGCTCAACTGCAAGCAGCTGTGATACGGAATTTACAAAGGAGGATGAGCAGCGGCTGAAGGATTACATCCAGCAGTTGAAAAATGACAGGGCAGCAGTGAAACTGACAATGCTGGAGCTGGAAAGCATCCACATTGATCCCCTTAGTTATGACGTTAAGCCACGGGGAGACAGCCAGAGGCTAGACCTGGAAAATGCAGTCCTGATGCAGGAACTTATGGCAATGAAGGTATTTTATTTATAACCAGGGGGCTAAATGCATTGCTGACAATGCCCCTGTGCTCCAGAACATGCTCAGTCACGCATGGGAGGCTTGGGTAGAGATCACTGGGTAATAAAGGGTAACTTTGTTGAAACACATAATCTGGACTGAAAATCCAGTAGTTACAAAGTGACAGAAGGCAATGCATTAATGGTGAAGAGCTGTGTGTGTTTTGAATTAGACAGGAACTTGATCTGTGGATCTAAACTTGAAATGCTCTTCTTGACAAACCAGATGCTCTGTTTGAGAGGTATGGCAGCTGAGTTGCTCAAGGGTGACCAAAAACATGATACAGCACTTCCCAAGAGACAGTTCACCACTTCACTTCCAAGCTTGCAAATGTGCATCACGAATATTTGTGAACTGAAGCAGAACAAATTCACCTCCTTTTAATGTAGCTGTGGGAGGAAGAATGGTCTGTCAGAAGGTGTCACCCCTAATACTCTCTGGCAGTCATAAGTCCTTATCTGTTCTAAGCACTGTGTTGCAATCTGTAGCTCAGTTCAGAGTCTGAGCAAAGAGTAGGATGTGTAATAACTTCAGTTACAGGGGTTTGGAGAAAACTCTGGTTTATATGTCCAATTCTAAAGATGTGATATGGAAAACCTGACTTTTGTTGACCAGGTATAGAGCTTATATCATTTTAAGTCTGTCTTCTGTATTGACTTTGAGAGGTGGACTAAACCATAGGAACATATCAAAGGAAATACAAGTAGGCAATTCTGTATGTATGCATTCAGAACTTGTCTGGTTTGGCTAAGTTTAAGTAAGTTTAATTTCTGCATTTTAGTAAGTAGTATTTTAGTCAGCTAATGGCAGACATGTCAGCTGATGGTATCAAGTGGGACAGCAAATCCTAATAGTTTCATAAACTTCTAAAGCTTTAGATTTTTATTCAAATGTGCTCCTTCTGGCTAACTGGTATCTTAGTAATGATAATTGTATTCTTAGTGGTGCTGCCTTTCCATGATAACAAATATAATTTTGCAATAATGCATTCATTATTTGCAGTTCAGAAGAAAGATTGCTTGCTACCTGTCAGAAGATTTAAAGTTATGTTACTTGTTTGAACATGTGGCCACAGCAATATTTTCCCCATAACTAAAGCATGCAAGATGTACTGGAAGACATTTGTTGATAATTATATGTGTATTTCAGATATCATGCATCATTCTCCTGCAGGCAAACTGCAGAGCTATCTATTGTGATTAGTGCCCTTGCATTCCCTGATTGGCAGAAACACCAGCAGTTGCATATCATAATTTCTGGTACAGTTTGGAGCACTGGTAATCCTTTTGTTCACTCAACAATCATCTAACTTGGTTTTGACATACGGCATCTGTTCATAACTTTTGGTTGGACCTATCACACTGGGTTTTCACTGCAGGAATTACCCCTGGAAGAAGAAATCTTTCTTCTTCGTTGAGTTGTGTGCATTGCAAACAGAATAGATACACGTTAAACATAGGTGGCTGAAGTCACCTTCAGTCCTTTCCAGTACAGAGAAACTGACAGTACTGTTATTAATTGTAATTTCTTGTACTTTGCTGGAATTCACAATGCAGGAAAACCTTAGGTTTCTGAAAGAGACATTGTGAAAACTCAAGTTTGTCAAAGCTTGGAATGCATTTGTTGGTTCATGATCTTCTGCTCAGAAATTGAAAACTCCTGCCTTTCTTCTATGCATGAAGCATTACAAAAGGCGCAGCTACACTCTGCTTGCTTTGGTTGCCAGAGAATGTATTACCTTTTTAGCATCCACGATTGTTGCTCAGGTCTACATTATACCTTGCTCATATGTTTAGCAAAATATAGCGTGGTTGAACCTAAAGTCAGGACTCATGGATATATTGGCTTTCTGAGTATGTTTTTTGTGTCTGTTATTTGAAACATGTACCTCATACAGAATAGCATATGCATCTGCCTGCTTCTGAGACAAATAGAGGATTTAAACTTCCTTACGGTATTTCATTTGACTTGAAGCAAATGGGCTCATCTGTGCTGCAGAAGACTTCATTGTGTATCAGCTTTTAATTTTTTCCCTCCCTTGCACATTCTTAGCAAGGATGATACAGCTGGACTGAGCTACTCAATAATTTCCTGCACTGCTGGGTCTTAAGATCTGTGCTGTCTTCCCAAAACTTGTATCTGTAGTGGAATCTCTGCTGCATCTTTTGGCACCTTCCATCTATAATTCCCGGTAAAAACTGACCTCTACATCAGTCTGAAAATGCTTGTACACCAGTAGTTCTTCATTATTGATTAAAAAGATGGTTTGAGGGTGGTTTCTCTGTTGCCGTGTTTATTATTTTTTTACTGGTCCAGAGCGTAAGATGTAGTGGTCTGCCAGTACTTCTGTAAAATCCAGTTCTTTGCTTCAAGCAATAATTAACCTGTTTCCAAATATATTCTCAGCTGTGGTTTGTCATCATTCAGTGGTCTTGCTTTGAGGTCAGTTGTTGTCATGCCCCAGTTAGCAAGGAGATTATTTCTGATGGCTGTAAATAATTCTTGGTTTACACCATTTCTGCATTTCAAAGAACTTAATCTAGATAAGAAGTCTCAGCTTTCTACACTGGTAATTTTTCCTCCTTTGTCTACAGGTGGTGATAATGTTGCTCATAAGGACTGAAGAGACTTCAGTCTCTTTGTGGAAAATGTTAAGGATCCCGTTGTTCACCTTTTTTACAGCAGTTCATGCCCTTATAGATTTATATAGTAAAATACAGTTAACTAGAGCATGACATTTATCTGCTCTGATGTTTGTTTTACCTCTGATGGCTGGCAGATGCCACTTGGGTACTGTGATCCTCCTAGAGTCCTGACTTTTCATGATTTTTAGAACTTCTTGCCACATTATAGTTCTTTGCTGTTTTATTCTTCTGACATGACCACATCTGATACAAATGCTGATTTTGAAAGTTCCTTGATGTTTCTGATTATATTGAGTCAAAAGTTTTTAATTTTTATTCAAGTTTTTGCCCAAATTCAGAATTACAGTATGACCACAAGTACAAAGTATTCCTCAATATTCAATTAATTAGTCCTGACATAACTACTATAGTTGAAGGTTGTGAATTTGCGTGTATTGTTAAAGTGTTCTGCATTCATCTGGAAGAGTGACCACTTGCTACCTGCTCCTTCAGGGTTTCATTTTGTAAATACCACTGGTGCTTTAGGCACACACTCTGAAGAATCAGATGTGTTAAACTGCAAGATGTTTCACAGCAACCTGTAATTAGAAGAAAAGGGGTATAGTAAATATACAAAGCTGGCGTTTTAATTTAAATTAAATTTAGATGCTATCTTTAGAGAATATATTTTCATGGGAAAAATTGCTGCATATGTGAAGACTAACTCTCTAACTAAACCTGAACTCCTTGAATTTTCCCATATAACACGTAGCTGTTGCCATCCTGCCTCACAGATTGTATGTGTCCATACCACTATCCTCAACTGTAGTTTTAATTTTTAGCTTCAACCTTTCCTTCCTGTTCCTTCCCTGAAAGCCTCTGTAAGACACTGGCTGAGAGCTTTTCCACTTTTCCCCTGCTTTTTCCCCTGCTTTGTCTTTGCTTCTTTACTTCCAAATCACATTTGTTTTAACATGAGAAAACTAAACATATGGGAAGTGCACGATATGTCTTCTGGGAGAGGATGCAAACTGGTGAATTCATATATATGATTTAAACTTACTGTCTTCACAAACAAAGAAGTTAACTGTTGATCCTTAGGTTTATTTTGAGCTTGAATACGTTAAAATTAAAATAACTTAAAATATAATTAAAATAAGTTAAAAATTTTAGGTGGTGAGGCAAATCAGTTCCACAGATTCATTGTTGTAGTGGTTAAATTCACTTTTTTATTTTAGGAAATAGATGTCCCTCATTTTTAGGCTGAATTTGCCTAGCTTCAGCTTCCAGCCAGGGAAGATCTGTCATAACCATCATACCACATAGATAGCCTTCTATCAAGAGTATCTTTTATTCATATAAGTGTCAAAACACTCTATTCAAATTACTTCTCAGCCTTCACTAAGCAGGCTAAGTAGATTAATGGCTTTAGAAATAGAGGCTTAAGAAGCTAAATGCATACACTTGAGTATATCAGACCATCCAGTTCAACTCCTATAACTAAATATCCCTATCATTATTTATCAGTATTATTTATGTATTTACTGTTGACAAAGGAAATTAATGGTAAGTTTGCCTAACAACTAAATTTGTGTAAACCACATTGAATGACACTGGCTGTGCTTCTAGCCTTCAGTTCACAAACAAGCAGATGATTTTGAGGTATGGATTTCATTTTTGCATTATTGGTGATTCTGAATAAGCTGATGATTACCTATGGTGGTTGTAACTGTGATACACCTGCGTGCACTGCTTACACTTAATCCAGACAGCAAATTTTTGGTGGCAGTCATAGATTCTCTTCTACATGAAAAGTTAGTAGAAATTTGTGTTTGTATAATCTCTGCTATTAATGGCTTTAATACAAAAAGCATTATTTTTTAAGGATAAGGTAAGATACCTCTGATTTTTTTTATTAGAATATTTTTTGTTTGTTAAAAATAAAATTAAAAATAGTGACTTGTTCCTAGGCTGGCCACAGAACAAGAAACTTCTATTTTTGAGAAGTGTTTACACAGTGAACAAGTTTAGAACTGAATGGTAATACAGAAAATGTCTGCATTAACTCAATAGTCATCCATGAGGAAACCTAGCACAAGACAAGCTCAGCAGCGAGAACATGATTCTAGGTTGGAGTCTTTTTTTGGTTTTGGGAGTCTTCTGTTTGTTTGCTGGTGTTGTTTAGCACATAATGTAAATTACATTTTAGTTCTATCTCTTTAAAGGTTTTGTGGATACTGAGTTTTTCTGGCTTTAGAAAATAACTAGGAATTTTGTAGAAGAAACTTTTCTGAAGTGCTTTTAAACACAAAGATCCTTCTGGTTCAAGATATCCATCAGCTGCCTTACATGGGAGGCTGGGAGCATATGCTGAAAGAAGGGTCATTGCACTCATGCCCTGCTCTTAAACTTCTGCCCAGCCACTGTCAGACAGATGTTAAAACAGAGGTCTGTCCCCAAATATCAGTTGTTGTGTTACAGTAGGTGACAGCCCTGTCATAAACATCAGAGTGGCAGAAGAATTGCACACAAGAATGAGCTCTCAGAATTCAGCTTCTCTCTGTGAAGTCAATCCCCTGTGGATCGTATTTATGGAAGAATATAATTGAGTGCAATTTTGTCAAACTTAAGTTGTGTATATTTGGCTATTCTGGTTTTCTAGAGAAGGGAAATTAAAAATGGACATCTGATGGTGCCATACCAAGTTGCCCTTATTGACTTAACTCATTCTACCACAGAGGCTGGTATTACAGAGTGGGAATATGTGACCTGTGTGTGCTGTCCTAGTCCCTCAAACCTCTTCCACTCTAATGAGATAAATTCTTATGTATCAATAAGAAACTGAAATCTGGAATTTAGGGAGGTTTTTGACAGGAAAGTAATACACTTCTGGTTTTAAGACAGTGGTCTCTGAAGGGCAAAGTAGAACCAAAGAAATTTCAGCAGCTGTGGCTACTCTCTCATCCTTGATAGTCTAGTTTCAGCACCACGCTAGTGGCTATGAGCTTATTTCTGAGGCTGATACTGAAGTGGCACAGCTCATCATACTCAGACTCAAGATGTACTAGTCTTTTGACAAATATGCTATGTGACTATAAAAAGGCATGTGGGTGCTGATGGTGTTCTCCACTAAAAGAACACTTGGGTTATAGGAGTGGATGAAAATCTTGTTTAACCTCTTCTTCCTCTAGATATATAGTCCCATGAATCAGCATGCTGATAATGTTTCTTCAACAGGAGGAGATGGCAGAGCTCAAGGCACAGCTTTACCTGCTAGAGAAGGAGAAGAAGGCATTGGAATTGAAACTGAGCACTCGAGAGGCCCAGGAGCAGGCCTACCTCGTCCACATTGAGCACTTGAAATCTGAAGTGGAAGAACAAAAAGAGCAGAGAATGAGGTCTCTCAGCTCAGCCAGCAGTGGAAGCAAAGACAAACTGGGCAAGGTCAGGAATAAAGCTAAGTTTCCAAAGTCGTAAACATGATTAATTATACCACTCCCCTCCCTGTAGCAGTCTTTAGCATGTTAATCATTCTTCTCTTTTGTCTATATGTAGATCTTTTCTCTCTTCTCCAGTTGTTAGGCGATTCCTTCAGTGCTGTGACTTATGAGGACTTTGCAGAATTGTTGTTAAGCCTGGGCAAAAATAAGGTTGTTTTGAGGAGGATTACCACAAGCCCAGTCTTGGCAAACATACAAGTTGCTGTGGTTGAACGTGTGTCTTGCCTTTTGCCACTCACTGGAAACAGTGGAAGGGATGGAATATAAGCAAAATGCCATCCTCCCCCAAACACAAAATTTGAAAAAATTAGCTCTCATTCCTTTGAAGCAGTTAGAGCATTGTAATGACAGTCTCTTTCTCCAAGTCAATTTGTAATAATTTGAGAATGAAGGCTTTTTCTCCCCTTATTATAATGCAAAATAAACAGATTTCTGCATTAACTGTATTAATTTGCATTAAGAAATAGATACCTGGAAAAACTTTACTGTATTAATTTGCATTAAGAAATAGACACCTGGAAAAACTTAAGACCTCTTATTTTAGTGCTGTATCCCCAGATAACCCTCAGTAGTGTGTTCAAAAACAAAATCCAGAGCTAGTGTATAACTGTCTTTCTTACTTGATTCTGGCAATGCATCATCTGAATTTTTTGATCCCAGCAGTTTTTTGTTTCAAGTGTGGTGTCAAAAGAAATATAGGGAAATCACCAGCAGTTTTACACACTAGCAGAATTCTGCAAATTGATGAGCTGTGGTGGTTTAGGATACATTTAGGGGGATTTGTGAAGTGTTAATCCATTTAGTCTATTTCTTGGTATGTTGATACACTGCCATGTTGCTGTAATATTGTGATGTTTATTTCACCTTCATTTTACAAGTAGCTGTTACCTAAGTGGTTCTCAGAATTTTCCAGTTAAGATGGTGAGTAGTTTTGAACTAGATGGTGTTTCCTCCTTTCTCAGGAATGCAGTGATGGCACCGCAGCCCCGTTAACTCTTGCTGAGCTGAGACCATACACTGAGAGTGAACTGACTACTGAGCTGACAAACGCACTCAGGAGGTAAGCAGCTTTCCTCACCAGGGACACCACTTGTCCTGTAGGCCCGGGGCAAGGCTTTGTTCTGAGCCTTTGCTCTTACCCTCAAGTGATTTCAAGAGTGATCACAGATTTGTCCCATGAGAAGGAAAGTGATCGAAGGTCTTCTAATGTTCCCCTCTCTTTGCTGTTTTCTTTAATCTAGTGAAAGTCTTCACATGGTGCTCAGCTCCATTCTCCTTCAGGTTCTCTAAAATTCAGTTGAATTTTAGAAATTAAACAAACCCTCAAAATGGCTGTAGTCATGGTTTTCAGCCAAGAGTGTGAGACACAAACATGACTTTTCTTGTGTGCATACAGAAAACCTTTAGTGAAGATTCGTGGTGTGTTCTTTGGTTAAGAAGGTTGGTCACAGGTTAGAACTTGGGCAGGAGTTACAGGAGTGGGAATTGCAGGCATTTTGATGACTCAGATGCTCCATTTTCTTTCTGAGTATGTAAGTGGAGCCACAGTTCAATTACAAATGACATTGTGTGAAGCATTAGCTTTCCAACAGGAGAGAAATTGATGTCTTGACAAACTGCTTTTGTCAACAGCCAGGTTTTAAGCCTAAGCTTTCAGTACAGTTATACATTAGCTAGATATTTGTTTGTGCAGCAATTTTTAGTGCACCAGCTATGTGGAAAACTTCATGACAAAGACATTCACTGTTTTGGTAGTTGTTTCAGTACTTGTTTCACCTTTTCCAAGAAATGGCTGTCTAATATCTAATCTGGTTCTTATATTTAGAACCTGTCCAAAATACTACCAAGAATTTAGGCTGGGAAGAGTGTATTTTGCTTTCCTGGTGTTTGCACCCTCTTTAATGGTGGAACGTCCTTTCAGGCAGCTGTGGTGTTTTATTCCTGAGGTGCTTTTTTCATGGGTGCAATGTATAGAGTGCCTATGGTCACTTAAGCCTGGAAGACATTGTGTAAAAAATGTAAGATCATTACTACTGCAGAATCAATACATTTCATACCATTTGCTTAGCAGTCTGGCAGTTGCTGAGTACTTAGTTTTCATGATGCAGGAAACAAAATTCCACAGTTAAAATAATCCAAACTGTCATTTGTGTGTGGGTGGATAAAACCCATTAAAAAAGTAATTTACATAAACATTGCATAGAGCCAGTGGCCTCCCCCCTGCCCCCAACTTTGCAGCCCTGGTGTGAGCTGCTTCACCAGCATTTTTTGTCTTCACTCAAGATGGGTCTTTTTCCTGCTCTTGTTACTTGCTCCTGGATTTCAAGATGATGTCAGTGACCTTAGTTAGCAGAGGCTTGAGTATAGTCATGAAATGTGGTTTGCTGACAACACAGAGAAAACAACTTTGCATTATCTACTGGGCCTTAACTTGATTAGCATGGATTTCCAGCCAGAGGCCTTGCAAGTAAACTCCGTCAGGCAGAAATGGGGAAGAAAAATAATCAGATTAAACTGTACATAAATTGTGAAGACTCCCAGTGTAATGGAAATATGACTGTACTAAATGTGATTGCTGCTGCCAATGGGGCTCAAGCACTGTTCCTGCAAACTGTGTGGACAGGGTGTTTTTCTCCTTAATCAGTGTATCAGCCCAGATTAGGCTGAATGCTTAGTCCTCCTTACCCTGAAGCTTTCTCTCAAAATCTGTCTAGCACCTGGAGAAAGGTTACTGCACCCTGTTAGTCACAGCTGTCCTAAAATATACCAGCAGTTCTTAACTGCTCTTCTAAGTAAATGGACCCTCAAATATCACAATGAAATTTATACCATCATGGATCCACTAAAGAGTTCAAAAAAATAATCAAAGTTCATTTTCCTCTGCAAGTGCTACAACAGTGCAGAATGGTCTGAGGTGGTTGTGATATCTTTAGGAATGAAGCAAACTTAACTCTATGCACTTAGCATGTGCCAATCCCTCAATACTCTTCCTGCTTGTATGGGAAAACAAGTCCTGACGCTATGTGTGAACCGAGATCCTGCTGGCTACCCTGATTACCTTCCTCACCTGCCAAAGAAGTAGGACCAGAATACAAAATAAAAATATCTTGCCTAGTATCTGTGTTTGTCAGGAGACAGGAGGGAAATATGAAAACAAGTGCGTATCGCTCTCTGTGGTCTAGAGGCAGTGTTGAAATGCCAATGTTCAGGAGCATTTCAGTACTGGTTACAATTTGTGCACACATCCAGCAATTGGACCTATCTGTTGTCTCTCCAGGCAGTAGACGCTGGTGTAGGGGACAACAGCTGCAAGGATAAGGGGAAAAATCCATTTGCTTTTCAGTCTTTCTGTTTGTCAGAGCATGTGATATCAATCAGCAGCCCTGCTTCCTGTCCCCTCCTCATCCTGTCTTTACAGAGACGAAAGCCCTGGCAGCTCCCCCTCTACTGCTTTCCCATTCTGTTCTCTATTGCTGCTAAATTGTCAGGTTCTTCTCAGTTAGTTGAAGCAGAGTGAAACCCAAATAAAACAGCAGGACATAGTTAAGGTTTGAGTTTTGGTGTAGTTTGAAAACATTTATTTGTTCATAATCTGCAAATGGCCATGCAGCAGGACAGTCTCATCCACAGAGATAGGCTGGCTTCTCTCTGCAGATGTGGATTTTTATGTAAATCTGGAATCCAGAAATGTGTTGTGAAGCTTATCCAGTTTTCATTGGTAGTGCCCATCACCAGAAATTCAAGGCAGGAGCAGTTCTTCATCTATTGTTCCATTATGTATTTGTTCTAGTACAACTCAAGATTTCCTACAGAAGTGTTCAGCATTAAAACCCCTCTTACCAGCTTTTCACAGAAATCACTTTTCTTTGTCATGATAGCTAGGCTAACTAGTAGAAATGTAAATTATCTGCAAGTTCTGAGCTGTAAAAGTTACATCTAGGTCAATAAATTTCTGATATTGCAGTCTAAACTCAGTAATGTTCCAGCCAAATGCTTTCTGTCAGAGTCTTTAACAGTTTTATTTTCCCCTCTCTCTTTTCTTAATGGAATGATGAAGTGGTTCAATAGACATGAAGCTTCTTTTTTCTTGAGTTTGACACATCCATAAACAAGCTTGTTGGCAGGAAATACTTTATTCTTGTGAGAATGAAAATGTGTTCCCAACAGCCTCATGGCCTGGCACTGACACCTTGATGATTGTGCCAGAAGCCAGTTTTATGAGAGGATCTGGTTTAATACCCCAAAATCAGACACATGACACAGTCTCTTAGGGAGACCTTAAAATAGTATTTTCCTTGCTGGTTTGCTCTGCTCTGCTGTGGCAGGGCAGGGAGAGCTGTGTATGACTTGTGTGAGTTTTGTAATTTAGTAGGTACATACCAGTGTTTGCACTAGTGCAGGTGAATGCATTAGCGGTGGCAGAAAGGATTAGAGAGGCAGGAAGAATGCCATCTTGCTTTAGCAGGGCAGTGATAATGGTGATACAACTAATCTTTTCTTCCACTAAATTCTTTCATTCTGTGAAAAATGACCAAACAGGTAAGACTGAAACTTCTCTCTCTCCCTAGGCATAGCTAGAAATGCTTTGTTTGTTGAGGTCCTCCTGCAGTCTCTCCTTGTATTTCCAATTGCTGATAGCTCTTCTGTCTCTGCAGGGTTGTATTTTGTTTATGTATTTAGACAGTCATTTATAAGCGTTAAAATGATTGGCCAGGAAGGATCTGGCAGTACTAGGTAAGGGCCATGGCAGGCAAAACACTATAACTAGACTGACTGTTCAGACCTGGGCTGCATCATCATTTGGCACAAAATTACGATCTTTGATGGCTGTGCAGGGTTACATGAATTGTGTCAGTCTAGAGGCGTTTCAGTATCTCCCTCACAAAAGAGTGACTTTCCATCTGGCAAGACAAAAAGAAGCTATGTATTTACCATGTCTGATGACTTTTAAGCTGAGATAACATATTGAGTGATGCTATTAATAGGGAAGTTGCCATGGAGAGGGGGAAGGAGTTGTAATCGATAGGACTGGCAAACAGTTCTTTTGCTCTTAATAAAATGTACATTTTGCACAGAGCTGTGATCCTGCCTCTCAGGAAGTGGAAGCTGCAGGTATTTCTAGTAGGACACAAAGAATTCATGCTATTGCAATAACTTCTATGTGTCTGTTGAGACACAGTAATGCTTATTGCAGTCTTAGGTCCTTACGCTTGTCTGAAGATTGCAATTTTGTTTTATGCCAAGCTTCTTTTCAGAAAGGAACCGTTTCAACAGAAAGCTGTGCCAAGGCATGGCAGTGGCTATTTCCTGACACAGTGTCAGTGAGAGATAGATCAAGCCACCTTCCTTTATTTTAAACTTCCACAAACTTCATGTGATGGCATCTCAGCTTGGTGTGTTTTCGAGGGCCAACCTTAGTTTCATGCTAGCAGGATCCAGAAGTCTGTGAAAGCTTAGTTGAAATTCAGGCCTATCTTGACTATCAGTCAGACTGTGTCTCGAAAATGGAAGTAGAAATACCTAAAACACATTATATTGTAATGATCCAGATTTAAAATTACTCTTAAGACTTACTGATTCGTAAAATCCTCCTTTTCTTTAACCAAAGTACAGGACAAACATAGTGGATAAAAGAGGGAAGAGGGAGGCAGGGGTTGTTGTTGTGCAGCTACTGATGCATCCTCAGGGGTTTTTTTCTCAGTTACATTTGCTTATTTCTGTCCTTTAATTATCACATCCATTAAATGAAGAGATAAGCAACTCTGAGACATATGAAAGCCAGACACTGGCATGGATTGCAGTCATTGCAAGTTTCAGAGATATCCTTTTTATGCCTGCGTTGTATTCTGCTGTGGTTTCCCTTGGCTGCCTGAGGGGTTTGGGAGGTGTGACCTGTGTCTGGAAATCCCTCTGGAGAGTCCCACTGAGAAAAACCTTCTCACAAGAAGAGAAGTGACTCATGGTGATATAAGGTACTTCCTCAGAAGCACCTCAAGTAGGTGTTTTTTTACATGCATCACAGACAGCCATAATTTTCCTTTTTCTCTACTTTTGACTTGG